GCAGGACTGGCCTAGGGGTATTTTAAATTGGTTTTAATCAAATTTTTAGTAGAAGCGGCCAAATTTGAATATTTATTTTTAATCATTTTTAAATTTTGTATTGTATTGTATCATTGTTTTAAACTGGCTGTAAGCCGCCCTGAGTCCTCCGGGAGAAGGGCGGGGTATAAATTTAATAAAATCAAAATCAAATCAAATCCCCACCAACCACGGCTGAGAAATTCCAAAGGTGCTTTTCCCAAAGGCATCTGGACGTTATTTGTTTTGGCTTGAAGACGTTTCACTTCGTATCCAAGAAGCTTCTTCGGTTCTACCTGAATGGTGATGAACGGAAGGATTTCGTGCCCCAAAGAAGAGGGAGTCAAGCATTTCTCCAAAGCGCCTGAAGGCAGGACAAGAAGCAACGGATGGAAACTAAGCAAGGAGAGAAGCAACCTAGAACTAAGGAGAAACTTCCTGACAGTTAGAACAATTAACCAGTGGAACTACCTGCCTCTAGAAGCTGTGAATGCTCCAACACTGGAAGTTTTTAAGAAGAGACTGGACAGCCATTTGTCTGAAATGGTATAGAGCAGTGGTTTTCAACCTGTGGGTCGGGACCCCATTTGGGATCGATCGACCATTTCACGGGGGTCGCCAAGCAAGGCTGTCCGCCATTTTTTTTGTCCGCCATTTTTTTTGTCCGCCATTTTTTTTCGCCTTTTCCGGCGGGTGCCTTACCTCCCTTGGGCTGGGCCAGCTGGTGGTCGGCCTGCTCCGTCTCTGCCACTTGCCAGCTACGTCTCAGCCGGCACAGGGGGCAGAACACACATGCGCGGCGCTCCCGGGCAGGGAAAGTCCTCAACTTACGACCGGTTGGGTAGTCCTCGACTTACGACCGGTTTAGTCCTCGACTTACGACCGGTTTAGTCCTCAACCTACGACCGGTTTAGTCCTCGACTTACGACCGGTTGGGGTCGCGGCATTAAAAAGGTTGAGAACCACTGGTATAGGGTTACCTGCCTGAGCAGGGGGTTGGACTAGATGACCACCAAGGTCCCTTCCAACATCATCATCATCATCATCACCATCACCATCACTATTATTATTATTATTATTATTATTATTATTATTATTATTATTATTATTATTATTATTATTATTATTATTATTATTATTATTATTATTATATTCTTTGCAGTGATCTGATCATTAGCGCTCTCTCTGAGAGTCATTGAGGTCACTTGGAGGTTTATCTGTGCCCTCGGGGAACTGCTGAAAGGCCAGTCCTCAGAGAGAGTGCTAATGACTAGATGACTGCAAGGAATATAAATCCTTCCACTCTCCCCCATTCAGTCAGAACTGAAGAAGCTTCTTGGATGAAAAGTGAAATGTTTTCAAGGAAAAACAAAGAAAGCCCAGTTGCCTTTGGAAAAAAGCACCTTTGGGACAACCATGACCTGGATGATTGAGAATCTCCATAGCCCAGGGGCAGGCAACCTTGGCTCTTTTATGACGCCTGGACTTCAACTCCCAGAATTCCTGAGCCAGCCATACTGAGGGGAAAGGGACAGGTTTCCAAGCTGAACCATGCTGGCTCAGGAATTCTGGGAGTTGAAGTCCACGCGTCATAAAAGAGCCAAGGTTGCCTACCCCTGGCCTAGGCACATAAGTGAGAAAGACGAAAGTAAAGGACCAGGCTAATGGAAAACCAAAGAGGAACATTTGACACACCGCAACGTTTTATTGCAGCTTTTCCCAAACTGCTCTCCTCCGTATGTCTTGGAGTGGCAACGTGCAACCTGTTGAGAAGGGTGCCTATAGAAACTAAATAAATAAATATAAATCCAGAATTTTCTACAACCAGTTGTGACACTAGATGGGGAAGATGATTTGTTGAGAATTGAGACGATAAATCACTTTCAAGTGCAGCTTGGTTTGGGCTGATTTTGTAGAGACGTATCCCAAACTTGGCCATTTTAAGATGTGTGGACTTCAACTCCCAGAATACACCCAGCTGTTGTATTCTGGGAGTTGAAGTCCACACATCTTAAAATAACTACGGTTGGAAAACACTGCTCTAGATCAGTGGTGGCGAACCTATGGCACGGGTGCCAGAGGCGGCACTCGGAGCCCTCTCTATGGGCACACGTGCCATTGCCCCAGCCTCGCCTCCCCCCACGACCCCCTCCTCTCCAGCAGCCTTCCTGAAGGAGAGTCGCCCCTGAGCGTGGCCCACACGGAGCAACGCAGCCAAGGACATGGCAGCCAGGCAGCTTAGACAAGACTCACACCCCATCGTGCACAGTTGATGCTGCAGGGCGCAGGCAGAGGGCGTGACCGCCATAGCGCTGCTGGGCTGCCTGGGCGATCTGCGGCGGGCCCTGGAGACGGTGAGTGGCCCTGCGGCCAGGCAGGGCGGGGGATGGGGGACGGGGCAGGGCAGGGGATAGAGCAGGGGCAGGGGCAGGTTTTGGGCACTCAGTCTCTAAAAGGTTCGCCATCACTGCTCTAGGGCAGTGGTGATGAACCTATGGCACGCATGCCAGAGGCGGCACTCAGAGCCCTCTCTGTGGGCACGTGCGCCATGCCCCGGAGATGCCAACTGTCCCTCTTCAACCAGCCACCTACTAACTAGCCGAGGTCCCATGTGGCCAGATGCATCCCAGCACGGCTGGTTTCCCTCCTCCCCATCCCGTCCCTCCTGGCCTTGCATGCTCTCCTTTTCCCGGGCACGACCCACTGCATCGCCTCCTCAGCTGTCGCCGGCCATCCATCTCAGAGGTGGCTTCTTTGAACTGCTGGCGGCAGGCTGCGGAGCTCCAGAGTGCACCGGTCAAGGGGCTGGCAGGCTGTGGCTGCTGATGGACACCGTCGGCCCCCATGCGCTCGCTGGCTTCTGTGTGCGGGGGCCGATGGTGTCAGGCAGCAGCCGCCCCTTGCCTTGCCCCATGGCAATGGCACCCCCGCCCTGCCGTGCCTCACCCCGGAGGACGAGCCTCCTGCCTACCGCCCCACCTACCAGAGGACCCCCTGGATCTCCCCAAACCCTGCCCGGCCCCCACAGGCATCCCTCCCCACGAGCAACATCGAGGTGACCATGCCCACCTTGGCCAAACCTACCCAGTCTGCCATGACCCCCTCAGCCACGCCCACCCAGTGGGCCACGCCCACCTGGCACCCGGTGATAAATAAGTTGGTTTTGGGTTGCAGTTTGGGCACTCGGTCTCTAAAAGGTTCGCCATCACTGCTCTAGGGGTCTGCCTCCAACCCAGCACCTTGACAAAACCTGATTTATTTATTTATTTATTTACAATCTTTGCCTAATTCACACGGTGCCTAGCTTCATAAATAGAGTGGAGCATGGTAGCTCACAGGGTAAATAT